GTGGTTCGGGGCGCGGGGCCAGCTCCTCCCGGAGTCCCCCCGGACCCTGGTAGAAGTGTTAATGTCAGACAAATATTGCAGCTCTCCTCATTCCCAACCCCTCGGCTCCATCTGTTTGGCCGGTGGCAGAGAATGGGAACCGCGTGCGGGGTGATGGGCTGCACGTGGAGGGGTCCCGCGGGAGCGGCACCGCCCTCAGCACCTGAGCTGGGGTGCCCCCTGCGCCCCCCAGCCCTGCGGGGTCCCCTCCAGGTGGTGACCTCAGCACTTGATCATTTCCGAGCCCCAAAACGGGGCTGAGTTCACGATCCACCCAGAGTAACCCTTCGTGGGCTGGAGGCTTTTGCAAACCTCATGGACCATCAGGTGGGGAAGGGCAAGGGTGCGGTGGGGAGGGGTCCCTGCCTGGCTGGGGACACCCCCGGGCTGTTGTACCCCCTCTCCATCCCTGGTAGCCCAGCTTGGTCCCCCAGGGAGCCCAGCTCCTGCCCCAGGGATGGGGAGGTGGGATGGGGTGAGGTCCCCAAGCCCAGGGGATGGTCCCAGCTGGAGGTGGGCGCTGGTCATGGCCAGGGATGAGCATGGTGTCCTCCCCCAAGGTCTGGCTTTGGGGCCATGGTGCTTCTTCACCTGCTTCACCCCTTCTGCTGGGTTGATCCAGGCTTTGGATACAGGTTTTGGGCAACCTGGACTTGTGGGAGGTGTCCCTGCCCATGGCAGGGGGTGGCACTGGATGGTCTTTAAGGTCCCTTCCAACCCAAACCCTTCTGGGATTCTGGGATTCTCTTTTCTCCTGGTGGGAGATGGAACCCCATCAGGCTGGGGGCACGATGCTCTCCCTGACCCCCCGCTCCATCACCCAGGTCCCGTGCGGAGGATGAAGGCAGCAGGACGCTGCAGCCGGCTGAGCTCTTTGGCAGCGTTGAAATATGCTGTGGTGGGACTCTACCTCCTCGTCTTCCTCATCCTCATCGGAGTCTTCATCCTCGCAGGTAAGGGTTGAGCCTGCCTCCAGGGGTACCCTGGGGCGATGCTCCCCAGTGCGGGAGGAGCTTAGAGAAGTGGGTCTGGCCATGGATTACGCTTCTGCTGCCTCTGCAGAGGTGTTTGAGAGGGTTTTCCGTGCTATCCAAGGGAAAAAAAAAATGGGATCCATGCTGCATGTCTGGAGTGATTTTGATTCAAGCTTTGAGGCTGGAGTCACTGCAGGCTCCAAGCATCGTGTGCCGGGGACGGTGAGACTCAGGAAGAGGCTCAGGAGCCCCAAGTTTGGGGTTTAAATTGTTCCCATCACTAGGTCCTGGCTGCTGGGCTTGCACCGACTCCCCCATTTTGCCTGGGGGAAGGATGAACCTCGGTGATGGAGATGCAGGCAGGGCGTTATCCTTGCACAGCACATCCTGCACGTGCCAGCAAGGCTCCTGCATCCCCTCTCCGGCTTTTTGGTGAGCACAGGGATGGGGAAGCTGCTCGCAGATGCCTGTCATTGCTCCCAGCCCCAGCTTATCACCCCTTCATACACATCCCATGTGGTCTGCGTCGCTGCTGGCTTGTTTTCCCCCTCATCGTGCTGGGAGCAGTGTGGGAACCCAGGCTCCCAGTACCCCCCAGTTTGCACCCGTGCACAGCTCTGCTGGGCAGGGGGGCTTGGGTGGTGCCACGGTGGGCACGGGTGGGAAATGCCACCACGGAGGAGCAGCTCCTCGCTTCCCACCCGCCTCCTCCCCAGCACCCCGGGGCTGGCAGCTCACGTTGTTCGCCAAGGGTGGATTTAGCTTTTTCCTGGTCTAGGGAAGGGCCAGAGAAGGTTTTGCTGTAATTTCGAAGCCTCTCCCCCTTATTTCTTGCGGGACATTGTTTTAATGTTGTTGTTGGCTTGCGAAGCATCGCAGCGAGGGATGCCATGAGTTGTGCAAAGAGCTCGGGACAGGCGCTCGTGTCCTGCACTGAGCTGCAGCTGCTGCCCGAGAGCGGCTCCAGCAATAACAGTCACGGGATGGCAGTGGTGACGGCAGGGATGGCTCACCAGCGTCGTAAACCCACCTCCTGGAGTCCTGGGATGGGCAGGATTTCAGCTCCCAGTAAGACCCCAGTAAAACCACCTTACCCCCTGGGTTGTGGTCGGGGATCTTGGCAAAGAAAAGCAAAATGAAGAGGAAAATTATCACTTTCGTTATTGCTTTCTGCATATCTGGACTTCAAGCCAAGACTCTGGCTTTGGATGTCTCTGACTCAAGTACTGGAGCCGACCACGGGTTCTCGGAGCTGTCTTATCAAGGAAAACCACAGGCACAGGATGGCCCTGCAGCATGGCGCAGAGCAGCTCGTTCACCGGAGACCACATCCAGCCGGGACCCGCGTGTGGTCTGGGAGACAGTCCCACGGTCCCTGCCGTCCAGCGTTCCTGGCTGAATCCTCAGTGCTGGGACTGCTGGTCCTCTGAGAATGGGGACTGGGTGTTGGTCCTCACCCTTAGCCACAGAGGGAAATTTCCAGTGGGAAATCCCAGTTGGTGCCACTGGAGAGCAGCCAGCAGTGTGTCAGAGCCGAGCCCAGAGCCCAGCATCCCTTGTCTGCCGGCAGAGGGGAAGATCCAGCGGACGAGCGTGGGGCGTCCAGCTCTTCTCCGGACCCGCTGGTCTCTGCAGAGGGATGTGGAGCTGTGATCCCCCAGCTGCTCCCCAAAAACCAACTCTCCCTGGGCCAGACTGATGGGGACACCGTGCCCCCAGTCCGTGCTGCCAGCATCATCCCAGCGCCACAGAGCGGGGATGCTCCGCCAGGAGCTCTGCTGCTTCCCATCCTGCCCACGGGAAAAATTCCCAAAAGTCCTCCCTGGAAAGCACGTACACATGGAAACCCACACAGGAAGGGCAGGACTGCGGCACTGCGGGGGAAACCACCCCCCTTGGAAATAACCCCCCAACATGTGCTCGTGTCCCCGGCATGAGTATCACCACATCCCGGGGTTTGGGGGTGCAGCCGCCCCAGGCAGCGTTTTTTGGGGCAGGTGTCCTGCGACCCACGGCACGCCCCATGGCAATGTGTTAGAAAATGAGGAAATGGCTAAAAATACCGGGAACCACCTTGGAGCTGAGGAGGCAGGATGTTTTCAGCAGCAGAGCTGCTTTTAATATCCTCTCTCACAAGCCTGGCTGCGGTTTGCTGGCGCCTGCGGATGCCCAGTCTCCTCCCCACCCCACCTAGCCCAGATTTAGGGCTCTGATCTCACCTGTTCTGCAAGGTCTGGGTTAAATCCAGCTGCCTGCATGCACAGAGCTGCACTTTGGTGTTTGAACCCGAATCCCCGCCTTGCCCTGCAGCTGGTACCCAGCCCTTAGCTGCAGCAGGAGCCCAGGGAGGGCGGGTTAGGACACGGCTAAGGAGGCAAGCCCCTTCCGAGCCATGCCTGTGGATGGCACCCTGACCCACAGCCCATCTCCGTGCTCATGTTTGCATTGAGAGCGATCACACTCCCACGCTTGGCACCCCCAGCTGCCTGGCAGAAGCATTGGAGGACGCCAGCACCCTCCGTGTCGAGCCCTGCAGCCCTGAAACTCGTTCTCTGAGGATGCTGGCGGAGAGAAGAGCCCCAGCCCCATGATCCCATGGTGGGACCACTCCCGATCAGCTCCGGTGCAAACTCCTCCTGCTCCCCTGAGCTGGCTCTGAAGTAGCTCCGTGCCTGCTGCCAGCACCCCCTGGGACACGGAGCAAACCTGCGCTGCTGCAACGCTGCCCTGGCCCCAGCCTGGGCGAATCAACCCCCGGAGACTCGTTCTGGCTGATCCCCACCGTCCCCCGGCTCCCCAGCCTTCCCCAAATCCTGCTGCTGCTGTTTCCCCCAGCCCAGGACTTGTTTTCCATCCTTTCCCAAATGCCGGAGGAGGTTTCCTTCAGAGATGCTCCGGGGCAGGGCTGGGCTGGACTCCTGGGATGCCCAAACCCGCTGCCGTTGTGCATCTGTCGCGTGTTGAACCTCCTGCTCGGCATCTTCCCCGGCTCCCCCATGGAAATAAAACCCAGGGGCACCAGTGGTGATACCCCCGGGCTCATCGCTGGGTCCAAACCGTCAGCAGCGCGACTGCCCTGCAAGCTGGTCGTGCAGCCTCGTGGTTTTCTGCAGCCGTGTAACGCTGCAAAAGCGGGCTGGGAGCGCGTTTCCCAGGAAGGTGCAAACATCCACATTCAGCAAGGATGTGTCTGCTTTGCAGCATCGCCTTCAGCTTAAAATTGGGGGAGAGAGATCCTGGGTGCATGACAAGGGTGCAGGTGGCTGTACCTGCTCGTGGAGCACAGCCTCAGCACGCTCGTGCACGCGCCTGCTTGTCCCCTCCACAAGGCTCCTCCAGGACAAGTCCCATGGAAATAATGAGCAGGAGCAGGAGGACAGAGGCTGGGTTCTTCGTTAACCGCAGCAAAGCGGCCGTGTCCATCCAGGCTGCGTTGCCTCTGCCCCAGGGACTGCAGGCACGAACCCCATCCCTGCAGCAAGCTGGGAAGAGCTGCTGGTGGACCCATCGTGCAAAAATGTGTGTGAGCGTGGGGGTGTGCACAGCTCGGGGGGCTCGTGCAAAGGTTGCAATGCAGAGGGGGCAGGTGTGTGTGCATTTGCATCCTGCTGTGTGCATGCACGTGTGCATTTGGAGAAATCTGTGTGTATTTTGCAACCTCAAGGCATTTCTCTCCGGTACGTTTCCAGACCCGTGTGGAACCCCCTCCTCCTGCCTCTCTAGGGCTCTGCTTCGCCACCCTTGATGCCCGTTGGCTTTTCAGCACCCTTGGCATCCGCAGGCACACGTGCAAGGACGGGGCGGGTACTGCTCTGGCCTGGACGGGGTTTTGGGGTAGGACCGTGGGGTTCTTGCAAACCTTTGCTCCTTGAAACACAGGCGGGGACAGCCACTGGGTAGATGGCATGAACCCAAGGTGCAAGCGCAGGAGGGAGGAGCTGCTCGTGGAGCCCTTTGGGGAGAGTTAGCTCACCCCCAGCACTGCCAGGTGCTATTTTGGGGCTCCATGGCATGTATCTGTGCTGGGTACACGTGTGTGTGTGTGTGTATGCACCTGGGAGTGCATCTGTGCGGGGGGGCACGTGTGCATGCGTGCATCTCTCTGTGTATGTCAGTTCCATGTGTGCATGCGTGTGTGTGCACCGTGTGTATGCATGTCTGTGCATGTGCTGCACGCATTCACGTGTCTCCATGCATGTGTGTGGTGTGTGCATGCACGTGTGCACTGTGTGCATGCCTGTGAATGTGCTGCATGCATTTGTATGTGTCTGCACGCATGTGTGTGCATTTGCTGAGGTGGGTGCAGGATGCACGGAGCAGGTTGGGTTGCTGGGGTCAGTACTGCGGGATGCACGGAGCAGGTTGGGTTGCTGGGGTCGGTGCTGCGGGATGCACGGAGCAGGTTGGGTTGCTGGGGGTTGGTGGGTGCAGGATGCACAGAGCAGGTTGGGTTGCTGGGGTCAGTACTGCGGGATGCACGGAGCAGGTTGGGTTGCTGGGGTCGGTACTGCGGGATGCACGGAGCAGGTTGGGTTGCTGAGGGTCAGTGGGTGCTGGGGGATGCACGGAGCAG